ATATATATCAATATATATATATATATCAATATATATATATATATATAATGATTTTATATATATATATATATATATATATATATATATATATATATATATATATATATATATATATATATTTGTGTGTGTGTGTGTGTGTGTAAATAATGTATATATAAAGATTTATATATACATAATTTACATATACATTAGGTTTGAAGCAGAGGCAGTTGTTCCATCTTGTTCGAAAAAAGATGGATGGTTATTTTGGTCAACTTGTGTTCATGCAATGAAAGCTACCTATAATAATTTTTCGATCATTGACTCATGCAACAAACTTAGACTTAAAAGAGTTAAAGTAACTCAAGGTTATTAAATTTTAAAGTAATTATTGCTATTTTAATTGTTTTATATGAATAAAAAAACTATTATAGCTTTATTTTAACGGTGAAGTATTACATCAAATAGACTATTTTATTTTTATTTCCGAATAAGTAATATTTTGAATCTGGTTATGGTATTACTACTGCCTAGATATATATTGTAATCTGTTTACACTTATTCTACTTTTTTGTTTTTACATAATTTTACTTATATTTAATTTACTAAATAATTACTAATAGATAAAGAAGTATGTGCAGGATTTAATTTCACAACTAAAGAGGACTCCGAAGAAGAATGTAAGTAATTATGTTTGTGAATAATTTTGTTTCTCTTCGGATTTAACTTTTCTTTGTTTTTAATATAGTGAAGAATAAAAAAAAATTTAATATTAACTATTGGTCAAAGCTGATTTCAATAATACTGTCTAAATTTTTTGACTTGTGGTAGTTTGATTACCAGTATAAATTTATTTAGTAAAGTTCTGGTAGATCAAAGATCGAGGAATGATTTGGTTTTAACTGATTTGCATCTTATGAACGAAGTACATAATTTGATTTAAATTAATGATTTATAGTTACACCTATTGAAGTAAGTTTTATTTAGTTAATTAATGTATGGATACATGACTATTTTTAGTTGCAAATTTTCTATATATACACACACACATATACATATATGTATATGTATATGTATATATATATATATATATATATATATATATATATATATATATATATATATATATATATATATATATATATATATATATAAAATTGAAATAAGTGCCAGTTTGAATAACCGTAATATTACTGTATATATATATATGTATATATATATATATATATATATATATATATATATATATATATATATATATTATTGTTATTATTATTATATAATATGTTATAATAATTAAAGGGTTTTTATTTGTCAATATAGGAATACCAACAATATTGCAATATTTTTTTATAGTAAATAAATGAATTTTGTTGTCTAACAAAAATTATGGATTTTAAGTCCAGAATTTAAATCCATAATACACCTTAGTTAATAACACTGTTGAAAACTAACTAAAAGTCTCTAGAATCGACATCTAAGATAAGATACAAGGTTTAGTAAACTGAGAATAACAGAGATTTACATCAGACAAGACTTTATTTATACATTAGCTTATTGCAATAATAAAAAGGACAATTTTTACTTTATAGAGATGTTCTTATAAAAAAAGCTGAAAAACGTAGTTAATGTTGAAAGATGTAGAGTAGAATGAGGCTTGATTTAAAACTGAAGAGAAGTAATAAAAGCTTCCAAACTTTTATTCCAGAAGCAATATAAGTCTCCAAGATACACTTTTTCCATACATATTATGGATATAAGCATATTTGTTTGCTATTTGTTTAGATGCTGGCATACAATATCCTTTCATTGTTGTATAAACTTTAGTATTTATATAGTGTAGTATTTGCCGAAAGAGAAAATGATCAGATGGATGTGTGGTGTGACTTTAACAAGATATAAAAAGTAGGCATAATCTTAGACAGATTAGAAAAAATGTTGTATCAAACAACCTTTTTTTTTAGAAAAAGTTAAAGTAATTCAGGTATTAACATGTAGAGTGGTAGCAGCTTCAGTATAAAATGGTTGTGGTAGAAGTAAGAAAGTTTGAAAAGTGTGCCATACATAGTGCCATAATAAAGATGATGATGATTATCATGATGACGATCAACATTATCAACATAATTTATATTATCATTGTCAAGCTTTCCGCTTTTATGCTGTTGATGATAATGATGATGATGATGATGATGATGATGATGATGATGATGATGATGATGATGATGATGATGATGATGATGATGATGATAGATGGTGATGGTTATGATGATTATGATGATTATGATGATTATGATGATCAGGTTGATCACAATGATGTTCATATATGCATATATATACAAAATATAGCATGAATTTTAAATTTAAAAAATATACTTTAGGATGTATAAATGTTTATGCAACCTGGTCTCAAATCCGGCCCTGGCCCCCGCTTTATTTTATCAAACCCGGCTCCGATCCCAGTCAAATATCAACCCCAGTTGTTTACTACAAAACATTTTAAGAATAAAAAACGTTGTGTTATTTTAAAAACAATTGCTTTTTTTATGCTATTACGACAATCACAATATATATATATATATATATATATATATATATATATATATATATATATATATATATATATATATATATATATATATATATATATATATATATATATATATATATATATATATATATATATATATATATAATGTATATGTATATATTTATTTTTACTTTTTAAATTTAATAATAATCATACTAACTCACTTACATTTTTTAAACATTTACTTTCAGATTGATAATGATACAAGTTTTATTTTTTGATTTAGATTCTGTATCTCAATGATATCCTGGCTTATTGATACGATATCCTGTAAATCCACTCACACACATAAATTTTACTCACACACGTAAATCCCGTAAATTCACTCACACACATAAATCTTAAAAAAGATGTTTATATTTTTATCTATAAATTGTAAATTTTATATAAATAAATTATATATTTTTTATGTTTTTCATTGTAAATTACTATTTGTATTAAAAATCGACTTTGGAAATATTGCAAGTGCAGAGTTCAACATACAATTTTGTTTTATTTGCAAATTCAATATAGATTATAATCAAGTTTAATCACGTTTAATAATATTTTGCGATATTTTCTCCAGCGCATTTGAGCGTTGATTTAACGTTATATTTCAACCTTTACTCGACGTCTTTGAGTCACGTTAAATCGACGTTTTACTACCAACGTTACAAATCCTTGCAAAATCGACTGCTTTAACAACGTTAAAGTAACACTCTCCAAGTAACGTTTTTTCAACGTTAAGTTGCGGCGCCTATGCAACGCTTTTTAAGTAACGCTTTTTCAACGTTTAGTTGAGACATTTTTGTAACGTCTTTTAGTAACGTTTTTTCAACGTTACGCTACAACGATTAATCAACGTCTCTTTAACAACGTGACATATCTTTGCAAAATCGATTACTTTGTCAACGTTTCCGCAACACCTTTTGCGACCGGTTTTCAACGTTGATTCAACGCTGACATGTTTACTGGGTGTGTAGGCTACATTTGGAGATGAACCATCCTTTGGCAGTGGCTTGGCGTTGTTGCTGTCAGAAGCGTAATTTGGCCTAACACACAGCGATAACCATCGTATCTAGGTCCTTTTGCACAACCTTTTGAACGATCTGGAAATGTACTTTATTCAGTCTGTAAATGTGATTACATTGATTATACACAGTAATATATATTGCATAATATGTAGCAATTAATAATAAAATGATTTTTTTCGACAAATTAAATTCAGTGTTCGCAAGAGATTTATTTAGAAAATTATGAACATTACTTACATGAGTCAGCTCTTCGAACGACACAGTAATTTGATTTATGCAAGGCGTAAACACCACAACAAAAGGAAAAAGCATTAAAAAAAAAAAAAAAAAAAAAACGTTCTAATTTCTTCAATAGCGGTTTCTCTGTGACAAGACCTTATGGTCTTCTTTGAGTATCCGCGTTCTTTATTTTTGTTTTTTATACTTTATTTCTTAACGATATCTTGACTTGTTATCTTTTCTTATAATAAATCCTATAAAAGCATATCGATAGCCAAGAGATGAAAATATTCAGAAACTTTACATGAAGCTTTTTAAAACTTCTGGAATGAATTGGAAAAAAGGACATATGTACTGCCCATTGGAGTAGGAGCATTAGAAATAATACCGAGCACTTACCTGACATTATTGTTTCTCCAGATCAGTCGGAAAAGCTTAAAAAAAGAGTTATAAATTTGAAAAAAAGCTATATGAACGCATTTTCGACAACACACAAAGCAAAGAAATTGTTAATATTTAAAAATGCTTCAAAAAGATATAAAACTTATTTATCAATAGCTCAAAATATAAATAGTTTTAAAAAAAGACAAACCTTCGTAGTTCGTACTAAACAAACTATGAAAAAAACTAGACAATTTTCAAAAACTGAATTAAAAAAACAAATTGTAGAATCTTTAAAAACAATTGAATTATTGCAAACTGCTATAAAAGAAATATTTGCACAACTAAATTTGAAATAAAATACTTGAGCAAAGTGTAAAAATTCAAGAGTTAAAAGTTGAAATTAATCATCTCTCTGGTATCATAGGCAATTAGAGAGCAAAACAATGAAAATATGAATCAAGAAAACAAACATTTCAATACTTATGGGGGTATCCAAAGAAAATTTTGATATGCTTTTTGAATGTGTCCAAATTTACATCTTATACCAGCTCTTCAGTGTTCTGATTGTATGTCGTCATGGATTAAATTTAAAATTTCTGTCATTTTTGTTTGAAAAGTCTTATAAAACTGTACATAAAATTATCGCTAGTCAGGTAATATTTTGTGCTACGCTTTTTAACAAAATAGATTTAAAAGTTGATGGTAACTTTAAAATTCTATAAAAATAGTGAAAAATGGCAATGGATCAACTGAAATTGTTATAGATGCCACTGAATTCAAATTTCAGCTTGCTTCTAATCTTGATTTGAGTAATTTAATGATCTCTCACTATGAAAATGCTCATACAGGGAAAGCCCTCATTGGAATAGCTCTTTATAAAAAGTTCTTATTGAAATAGCTCCTGGATAAATGTCACATTTTTCAAATTCATTTTTCACAATTGCCAAAGTGAAATTTATCCAGAGTCTATTTCAGACTCTAAAATTAGAGAGAAGTCCAACATACTATCACTTATAAGAGAAGATCACAAAGTGATGTCAGATAAAGGATTTGCGATAACAGAACTATGTTCTTCTAAAGGTATATACTTAAATCGACCAAAACAAAAAGAAGGATTTAAATTTTTCAGAATGTAAAATACAAAAAAACTTTAATTTTGCTGTCACTCGTATTCATGTTGAGCGTTATATTGAGAGAGTACGTAATTGGAAAATTTTAAACAATGTTAAATCTTTAAATCAAATGGATTTACTGGGTTCATCTTGGCAATTGTGGTGCCATATTACAAATATGGCATTACCTCCTATAGGACCAAAAAATAAGTTATATAGTTAATAAAATAATGTTTTAAAAAGATATAAAGTTAAATGTAAAAATATATTATGTTTAAATTGATAAGTCATTATCGTTTTCAAAATTTAATAAAACAACTGATTTTGTGTATTTCTTGTGAAAAAATTTGATCTGGTTCTAGGCTTTCAAAGTTTAGTTCTTTAGTGAGCAATTTTTCTCCGAGCAAACAAGCTTCTTTGTTTTCATGATAGTTCCATTCAAATATTTTAGAATCAGATAAAATAGTGTCAGAAATGTCTAATAATATATTAATTTGGAGATTATTTATTTCAATTTAAAAAAATTCCACTCTCAGACTCTGGATGATAAGATAAGAAAAAAAAAAAGTTCAGCATCAACACAAAGCATTTGCAATTGACATTGTTTATAGTGGGAATCAATCTAATAATTGAAGGGGTCCATCACAGTTTTCTGCTCTAGTTTTAAC